TTTCGTATAAAAAAATTAGGTAAAGTACTATTTAACGAATCACGAAAGATTATCTACCTAAAATCTTTGTCTGAATCTCATGACGAGTTCTCTTGAAAACTCCATTTGACACCAGTCTATTGATAACGTTGTATTGGTGGACAGTGCTAGCGGATTGTAAATACCGTGTGTGTATAGGTCGAAATGTTTTATCTGAGAGATTAAACTGAGCCCTTCAGAATGAGGAAAGCACAAGTGGCCGTTCCTTTTTCGATAAGCCATTACCAGTCTTTCAGGGCTGGAAAATGTGAGGCGTTAAACCCTAGTCTGGCTAATATTTACTATTATTCCACTAACCCCACAGGACACTTCACACGGGCTAACCCTAAATCTAGACTTGTAGTGGTAGGTAGTCATACTATAAGAAATCTACAATTTTGGGGATAGGTCTGTCGTTATAGTAGTGCCAATACTAAACTGAACCATAATTTTACGAATTTCATGGTCGACTGGTAGCGGTGAGATGATTTATATGAAAAATTAATGGAGTCGGTGTAAAGGCGTACAAAGCTACGCATTTTCACTAGTTACTTATCCGAATTATTACGTCTCGTCAGGTGAGTTATTATGTACTTCTCAATTTTAGTGCTCGTCTCAACGTTTGACAGATTTGTATTTACCAGTTTAATTTTTGCTTGACTCTAGTAATAGCGAATAAACTAATACTAAAGTTCGGGTGAAGGCAAAAGCAGAATACAAAGAAATTTTATTCGTGTACTTCATGTTCCTGATTGGTAACAATGCATCTCATTACACCACAAGGTCAATAAACATAGTTTATTAGAATTGACTTGTCATGACGAGACCACCTAATCTATATGATCTTACTTTGAATTCACATTGTCGTCTATCATGACTTGCTGTGTTGTGGTGTTTAAATGAACCAATGATTCCTTTGTACTTGCTGAATGCTTGATTTCGAATTTCAAATAAAGTGCTTATTTAGTACTTCTTGATCCGATTACGTTATTTCTGAAATTCTTAGTTCGTACTATAATTCAAATACTCCTAATCATCATATTGCTACTTCAGACAAATTTTTAAAGATCAAAAACAATTTTAATAACAGAATAATATATTCAATATACAGACATGGAACCTCGGAATTCAACTTTTATTGGCCTACACTTTTTTTCATTGGATATTCAACTTCCAGTTTCCCGTTAATTAACTTTGTGACGGCTTGCCCTCATGTTTCACTAGTGCTGATTTTTCAGTGTTATTCCATTTCCACTCTACAACTAGATTTAGTGCTAAGTCAATTTGCTTCCAAACCAAGTTGTATTATCACACGATGGTCACTAATACATTATTCAGAAGTGGTTCACATACATAGATGGTTGGAGAACTCATTTGACGTACAACAATTTCATGATGAATTTAATTTAAAAATGCATCAGAGTCAAGAAAGAACATAAAAGATTTCTTTCTTGAACCTATTAAGCCGACTTATTTAAGACGAGTGGAAGAACTGTTTGGACGGCTTTTCGCAAGCACGAAGAAGCCTTCAGAGGCTCTAAAAGGAGCCGAAGGGTTTTCATTCAATCACAGCCTGGTAGTACTTTCTAAAATATTAACATGTTATGCTCAGATTGAATGGTAGCATTACTTGCTTCCTTACGGATCGGCTGAATTATAGTGATACATTAACCAACACTAATAACTATAAATAAACATTTTTTCCGTACATGTTTGGTCTTCACCTAACAATCTCTTCTTCCGCTTTCTTATGTCTTCTCATTAGTAACTGTAGGGGGTTATATACGTTAGAGTGCCATTAGTTGTATGTCGTATTCTGTGTTAACCAAGTAAAGAACGTGACGGGAACTTATATAGGACGAGCCGAGATTTTTTTATCTCAACGAGAATCATAATGTATATATATTTTTTTCAGATGGATCAAAAGTTTTATTTATTCTCACCTTCTATCGAAGGGAGTAATATTTCAGTGACCATCCAGGAAGACTGTCATTAAATCTCTCACTAAGCGGTAATGAAAGTGATTTTATTTATCGGGGCCTAAATCTTCTTTTAACACAACCATATGCTGGAACTCTTCAACGATATTTATGTCTTCGGCTTGGGGTTTATCACTAGTTTGAGCTTAACTGCGCACATTGCATCTCAAGTTCAATTACACTAAATCTAGATCGTTATTATTATATGAAAAATGTATCATAATTATCTCTGAATATGGTACGCTAGTTCAAAGTAATTGTAGGTATAAGGATTTGACGAATTAAAACCACTGAAAGAAAATGCATCAAAGCTGGTTTGAGATATTCTGATAGTAATAATTATAGCCAAAGTTGTTACAAACCCACGCTGGAATCTTTTTGGGTCAGTCGAGTCAAATAGAACGCTGTCTTTATTTACCGGCATCCAAATCTCATTTTTTACACTTCAGGATCATCCATTTAGTTCCTCATCGTGTCATTCCACAATCTGCACGACGTGAATAATATTCACTCAGTTCAGAAAACCTACAACCCTAACGCTGACTTGGCACGGATCACAATGGGAAAGTTACTTCATGAGAACAAATATGCCATATTTTTTATATACCAGCCATCGTTTTCTTCTGCCAACAAGCATCAGAGACTTTCAAGTATCTGTAGTGGCATTGGTTCCTAGCCACATGATCTTCTCAGCGTTCATCTTCAATCACTAATGTTATCATTAACTACTTTTTTATTCTTTCAAGCTTGTGAAGTCTTTAATCAACTTTTTGTAACTGCCTGTAATAACTGAGCATCTCCTACAGCCCAGATACCGGTCTTAAGGACCTGGTAGTATGCTATTTACGCCCAAAAATGTCGGTTTTCGAGAGTTGTTTGCTGACCCCATAAACCCAACTGCCCTGAGACAAAAGCATTCCGATTACAAGATATACAAGCTAGCCGGAATATTCAACGTTTACCAAGACAAAAGAAGAAATGTTGGAAAGTTGATATCAGCTCTGCAACAGAAAGTACCATGGAACACTGTTGGTCAGTAGGAAATAAGTGTATAATTAAATTCCGGGAAGCTGAGATGAAATAGGAAGTGCAGCTGGCAGCCTGAGATACTATTCTCGTACATAACTTACAGAAAAAGGATGCAGCATCAGATTTTCAACCAAATTAGGAAGGGAGTGGAGCTAAAATGATAGAGGATGATCGGGAAAAGTAGAATCGATGGCAAACCATTTCCGGACAGTTTTCACTTGACAGCCTCCTATTAACGAAGAACTAGACCTAAATAGAAAGTCAACTAACCGTCTGCAAACGGTGAACTTTGATCAAGACGATGTATTTAAGGCTTTAACATCTTATTAACGGAAAAGTCAACAAGAACGGACGACCTTTACCCCGAAATCCTGAGACAAATTGCACAATATATTACAGCCTCACAAATTGCGCTATTCAATATGTCACATGATCAAGGTGTGTTACCTACGGAATAGAGGGATTTAATCGTCACTCCATTACGTAAAACAGTACTAAGAGAACTCGTATTGAACTACAAACCTGTCAGCCTCACCAGCGTCGTAGTTAAGATACTGGAAGGAAAAGTCGAAAAGACCATAATTATGTTTTTTGGGAATCAACAACTTTTAACACGCCGAACAACATGGTTTCAGAAAATGTTTATCTTGGATAACAAACGTCCTTATAGCAAGGCTCTAGACAATGGAAAATCAATAGCTGTTGTCTACATAGACTTCAGTAAGGCATTTGACAAAGTGCCAGCAAGTAGATTGCTATTGAAGCTGAAAATCTAGGCATTGCCGGACCTCTCCTAAAGTGGCTTAAGGATGTCATAGTAGGTCGTAGACAGAAGGTAACCGAAAATTCGAAGTGCTTCACATGGAGACCAGTACTTAGCGGAGTACCTCAAGGTTTTGTCCTAGGTCCTTAACTTTTTATATTGTATATAAATGACCTCCCGAGTATAGTTGAGCCCCCGGTGTCATTATACGCTGATGATGTAAAAATCTGGCGGAAAATAATGAGAGACACAGATGCATGCGCGCTTCAGGCAGACCTAAATATTGTGATTAACTAGTTTAAAGAGTGGCTGATGCTTGTCAACGCAGCAAAGTGTCTATATGCACATTTGGGATACAGTGGTTAAATAAGTACAGCATAGGGGAAGTGCTTATACCTGTGGATCAAGGATCTTGGAGTGACAGTGAAGCATTATCTTAAGACCACTGCCCAATAGCGGGAGTTTACGGCTAAAAGGTCTAGAACTCCACTGGCTGTAAGACGGGCATTACCAAGTTAGATACTATCATTTCCAATACAATATACAAAATCCTACACAATACTAAGCTAAAAAACTGCATCCAGTCTGAAAGCTCCTGCCTGAAAGGTGACTCAGATATCCTGAAAAAGTACAGAGGGCTGCTACTGATGCAGTTCCAGAACTACGGGGTTGACCATACAAAAAGTGGCTTGGAAAGCTAGACCTCTTTACTCCGTCCTACCGCGGATAACGAGGTGATATGATCTTGATGTATAGAATACTAAGAAAAAGTTTTGAACTTAATATATCCCCTCTTTTTCTTCACACTAGATCGTGACATCTTAGAGGTCGTAGCAGGCTAGCAGAAAGGCCAACAACGAAAAAAATACACGGGGCAGACAGGTTTTCACACCGAGTCGTCAATACTTAGAACTCGTTACCCGAGGCAGTGGTACCCGCGTCTTCAGTTGACTCATTCAAGAGAAGACTGGACACTCATAGAAGCATACTAGAAAAGGCAGAACATTGACCGTAGGCCTTCTGTCCTCGCTACACAAATCTGAATAAGTAACTGCCAAACCAACTAAAACTATTCAAATTGAATGGCTAAAACAAAGCTCATTGAACCGTCCATAAAGGACCTATAACTGCACTGGAACAAAAGCAAGTGAGTCCAAAGAATTCCAACTCAATACTCAAGGACATCACAATGATATTAGATATCGTATATTACAGTTTACTGCCACCTTTAAAGATGAAGGTCGTTTCGCACCTGATGTCATGTCGTACTTTCCACACCAGTGTACTTTGTCCTCAGTGGCGCTTGAAATTGCTTGAAAAGACAATCGTTCACTGTCGTGTTTTAACAGTACCAGTAAACCACTTCTTTTCAACTCGTAAAAAAGATGTAATCTCTGATATGATAATTGCTACGATCTACAGAATCAACTTACGATATTCACGATTCCTAATTTAATTACAGTTTCACGAATCACTCTTACCCCTTTTATTGTTAAATCTATTTTTTGCTGTGATTTGAGTGTGGCTTTAGGTCTTACTATCGTTGCTGGAGTCACAGATACGGTGAGATTTTGTTTGGCTTTTTTGTATGAAACTTGTGAAGTTAGATGGGCTTATAGCCCGAAATGTGTCAAACCAGGCCTCAAATGTGGGAAGTTTCCTGGACCCTCTTGCTGACAAACTTCTTGTGACTTCTTTGGTTTTGTCATTGACAGTGATGGATTTTTTCCCAGGTAACAAAAGGTTTATCAGCTGAGATTCCACTAGTCAGTCTTGCCTGTCTTTTTATTTTCCGTGATTTGGGAATTGTTATCACAGTTTTGTCTCTAATGTTCCAGAATTTCGGTTCAGTAGGTTCGCATATTCTATAAAATTTCTTCAGCTTACTACGAAGATATTCACCGAGAAAGTTGAAATGAAGGCATCAAATATCAGCAAGGTATGTTTACTTCTCACAGTTAGTTCAGTGGTGTGAAATCTTTTTCAATTAGCTTGGTTATATCTGCAGCTTAACTCAATATTCTGTTTGACCTTCTACTATCCCGTAAAATTAATTACACACCTTTGAATGTTAGTTTGATGCAATTATCTTCATGAAGGTATGAATCAGTGCCTCTATGGTAATTTTGTTCTCAGTTGCTTTTCAGTCAGCCTGAATGATAACAAGATTAAGTTTCGTTCACTTAGCCTTAAATTATGCAAAAACTTCAAATCTCTCTAGTCCTTTCGTAGTTCTAAAATCCCTTTCGCTCACTTTGTTAATCGATCTCCAGTTTCTTAGGTATGAATGGTCCTGACCAGTGTAATTTGTAAAATCCTAGCTTCAGTAAAGATCTGGAGTTTATCCTGAATTTAGGAACAATATACTGGATTAATCTGGTTACTTTCAAACCTGGTCGTTAATGTATTGACCAAATCCCTATCATTCTTTGAGTTTTTGAACACCAATGTTCGTTAAACTTAATTGAGATTATGCATTTACACTTGTTCTCAAACAGAGCAATATAACTAACCCGGTTTTGCTCTTCAATAGAACAACAATTTTAGTGTTGTAGGACTTTCCAGTTTATTAGCAAACGGTAGCCGTGCACAACTTAATTCATTGAATCTTAGTTGAGTGAAGAAACTTACTTTTCTACTTTAATTTTGACTAAGACACCATGTTTTGACCTTTTGTTAAAAATCAGGCTTTTACTCACCTTTCTACACAAATGTTTTTTTACAGCTATCCGTTTAGATCTGTTTGCGTCTTACGGTTAGTCAGTCAGCTACGGTGTAGGACCAGGTACATATATGCATTGGTTCAAGTTGCCACACCTCATTAACACAACAAGGTGAACACCAAAATCGTAGTAGTTACTTAATTGGTAGTAACATAAAAGAAAGATAGCATATAAGGATATAATACAGGAAGAAAGAATTAGTTCATAGAAGGAAAGGTATAAAGTAACTTTAGTCTCATAGGATGACAAAGGGTGTATATACCTACTCCATTGTGATCAGTTCTGAGTCATGTCACCTAGTGTTCAGTCACTGGTTCCCCACAAAATAATGAAACTCTTTCCTGGGTAAAAACCTCTGTCTTGCTTAAATTTTTGTCTGTTCTGAAGTTTTATTAAACGACTGGTCATTCATTTTTTTCAGTCTTTTAATTGTCTAATTATTATTATTCTCAATAATTCTTACATTGACTTTATAGCTGAATACTCTTTGTCAATTATCGAGTATCATACTTAGCATGACATATCCTTTGTATGGACTCCCTAACTACGAATACCTAAAGGTTGTATGGTGAGTTAAAATGTTTGCAAAATTTAAATATTTCCATTTTATGATTCATGAAGGCTTATATAATTTGATAATCAGTAAGTCATTCATAAGTAGTGTCAAACCTGATACATATGTGTATTAGTTCACCACAAACCGACGTCTGTAAAATTTAAAAGTGAGAGTACTAAACAGTCGCCTTTTCTGGTTCAATACTCCTTAGCGTTGTGTACTCACAGTCTCACAATACCACGTTCAAGGTCTCGTAAATTTATTATTTATTTATTTATTTCAACACATAGATAATGGTACAAAGAGGCACCAAATACATATGCGCCACACCATATTTGTGTGTGTGGGCTGTGATACTGCCCGGGTGCCCAAACCGAAGCAGGTGGTTTTCTTAGGGGGCCACACCCCGAGCCTTCGACCTGAAGGTCTGATCCACAAGGCAGTGGAGCATCGTGACGAGATGCAGTCCCATGGAAGCCGGTGACCAACAATTGGTTCATTCGCCATTTGTTCCCGCAGGATACTGAGGCCCATTTTCACCATTGGTTTGGAATCTGGTTAAAGCGCCGGACATTCGCTTTTCGTCCTCTCATTTTCGTAAACAACACCCCCGCCACGAGAAGGCAGTGAGTAGGACTTCCCTGGCAGAGGCTATATACGCGTGGCCGTGTGAGAGTATTTCGAGAGGGAGAGTGGACTCTCCCCACTCTCGGCCGTACCAGGGCATTTGGGGGCTCGTAAAAATAACACTTGACTACTATGATCGAATTCGGTGATATACATTGCAATGCGTTCCAACAGTCATCAAATGTCATAGATGGAGGTTACCTTATTCTGTACTCGATTAGATCCACAGATCACGACCTGCCATTAGAACTTCTGGGAAAGCAGGTCACCATTTAACACTGCGATTTGATGAAATTTCATAAATATAAGTTTGGAGATAAATTTTGACACAAACTAAAAAGTTATTTCTTTGCTGTTTTTCGAAATACATGGTCTGATCATTTTTATATATGTTTTGACTAGTTTATTTATTAATTTGACACTAATCGGCAACAGTTAAACGTGTGACAAATGAAAGATCTAGGAAAACATTTTCCAAACTTATTTCGTCAATATTTTTTTAATGAAGCAGGTGCGATAAATAAAATAAGGTAAAGTCAAGGACAATACAAATGGAACGCATAGGATATTTGATATTTGAGAAAATATGTATATATCGTGGATTGTTTTACCAACTATATATTAAACGATTCGAAGTACCAGTAGATTAATTATGAAATTTCTTTAATAATAATTTTTTCCTGGGGCCGTATCTTTTTTTATCTCTCAAATTGAGCTCTACAATTCTATTTTGTCTTTCAGAAATTGTTTTAATACATAGTTTTCTAATGAAGTGTAAATATGCCTCTTAAAAAGTCTTTATTTGTGATTTTATCCTAATCTCTCACATGGTATTCTTGTGCGAAATCACTTCAAACAGCCACTGTTACTAGCAGTGGGTATTTCACAAAAATCGGTAGTGTATAAACCATTATAAGATAAAAAGGTGTTGCTAGTAGAAAGCAATACAGCCACCATGGTCGGTAGTTTTAAGAGCGTACCTCTTAATGTTACTGCATCAAGTTATAAAAAAACCTATTTGTAACAAAAAAAACAATTAAAATCAAAATGCTTAACAAACGTAAGTTTAGATAAATTGACCTCTGAAGAGTTTCATAAAAAGTAGATGCAACCAGTACACTACATATTTTTTATTTTTTATCTCTGGCTTATAAATAACCGGCAAATCTTGGTTTGATAATCGTATTCCGGTAACAAATATAACTCTATTCCACAAATTTATTATTTCTCTTGCAATCATATTTTCTGTCGAATCTTGCTACTGCCAATTTAATTACCACTGCGCCTGTTACACTGATATTCCTTTCGGTAATTCCATTTGTTTTGCTTATGCGGCGTAGCAACTTGAAATGATTCACATTTGTGATATATGTAAGTCCCTGAGCGATATCACTGTCTTAATTCACAACTTAAAATTCCGATTGCTATTTTTCTATCTCACAGCTATTATTCCATCGATAACCTAGAGTCTTAGACTTGATTAATTGTACGTTGTAACCGGCAAAAGTAACATTCAGCTATCGTAAGATACACTCCTATTCGTCTGCCTATCTGCAAGACTTGCTGTATCTCCAGCCTTGGATCTGAATAGAAGCCAGAACTTAAGCTTCTATTATTACTATATTTCGATTACTCAATCCAGCTAGCCAACATCTCAGACACTCATTAGGATATATATATGCAATATCAGTTTTCACAACACATCTAATAGTGACTGTGGATTAACTGTGTATTTAATCTATGTATTTTATCCACAAAAATATTTAAACCATAAACAGTACTTGCTCACAGTTGTCTAAACCATTTATTTTGGTAGTCCAATAGTGTCATTAAATATAAATGCCCACTTCACAATTATGAATTTTAATGTGATTACAAACGATTTCTTCATTTTTTAAACTAGATTTACTGAATACTAACACTCATAGTGTTTATTTAGGTTAAATATACACCTTGTTCTATACTGTGTGCGTTCTCACTGGTATACTGGCGAAGTATTGGCAATCACTGATTGGACGTACTTAATGTCGTTCTCCTTTAGCTTAACCGTCTGTAACTGTTTTCCTAACCAATGCGGTTATGTAATGGTCATTATTTTTAACCTTTGCTCGTTATATTGATTAATAGGGTCTTGGAGACAAGCAAGATGTTCCTTCATTAACGATTTAATATTTATTTATAATTGTCTAACTTTAAAAGTCTGCGCATTATATATTGAATTATCTTTTCATTGACCAAGTCAGTATTACATTCGGTCGAATTAAAAAAACTATTCAAATTTTATGATGAGCACATTTAATTTATCGTTAAATCAAACGAAATATGTCAGAAATAAAACAGTCGTCAATAATGGCATTGGATTGTTGCTGTACTATATTGCGAATTGATTGAAGTGAAAATTGTACCGTTGAACCTCATGGCTCTAACCGTCAAGTGTTTGCTACGAGACCTATGGCTCCTAGGTTAGATCGTTGGTGAAGTTGTAGTTGTGTACTACTGAGGAGTCTTATACTAGGACTAGACACCTGTCTAGTATTCCCTGACTTTCAGTCATACCCCAACTGAGATTAACCTGTGACTAATACAATCTACAAATCAAACCAATCTCCATAAAACTCATTCAATTAAATTAAACCGCTGAAAAGATATCACATTATTTAGTATAGACAGTCTATCATATTACTCATTTTATGTATGATACCATCATTGTTTTTCTTTCAAAATTTATAAATCATTTTTCCTACTAGGCTTCTTTCAGCTGGAACTACAATTGGATCTGGTTTAGGATATTTAAAAAGTTTACCAGAATGGCGGAAACGGATGGCTGAAATCTCCAAAAAAACTAGATAGATAAACTATTTTATTTTGTACACGGTTTTTTAATCAACAATTTATATCAAATTGTATCTCCTTCAACGAAATGGTTGTCCTCATTGTCAACAGTTTACATATATATAACATATTATGAAAACTAACCGTTTGATTGAATAAAATCCAGAGAAATAAACTATTATAAAGAAAATAAATGAAAATATCCCATATACAACTTGAAAACAATTATCATCTATTAACTTATGATAATTTACTCTATTAAAGTTTAATGCATAAAACTTAATATAAACCTAAAGAATGATTTCATGTTATTTAAAAGTCAAGTCGTCATCTCTATTCTCTTTCAACTGAATGATTCAAAGTGAATACACACTTACTATAAAACCTAAAAGTCCTGAATTCTATTTCTGTGTCATAGGTATGCACTGTTAAACAATCCTCATATACTAGTGCGAATCAGTTGTCCAATGTTCTTTAGATTTTACTGCGAATCAATTAATTTAGTGGTCTCTTTGGATAAAACAAGTATATACATGAAGTTGAATTAACAGGTCAACAAAAAATGTGAATTATATCAAATTTATATATAAGTACATTGTAGCAAGTGTCTGTAGCTGTCTCATTGGGTGACAAATAATAATCATTAGTTTATTTTTTAAACAACAAATGAGTAGAAGTAACTATTCTGTTTAGAAAATAATAACGTACCAACGTCGCAGAAACTTTATTTTCAAATTATGCAGGGCATCAAACTTATCCTCTTTCAAAATAATGGTCTCATTTTTGCTAAATGCGTTTTCATTATCCACATTAAGTCAAACTGACTAAAGGTGGTGAAGACTCAAGTACAGTTGGTTGGCTATTCTATCATATATTGGTAACAACATCTGTTGCGCACTTCAACGGGAGAAAGCAAAACGTAAATTTTATGCAATGGGACCAAACTGTAGTTACTAGAATAATGCTAGAATGACAGTTGTCTTTGCTGCATAGGTTCGGCAGTGTGGAAGTGAGAATTTTGTTGAACTATTGCTATCGTTTGGTCTAGTGATACACTACTGTGAAAATCTAATCTAAGATTCTTTCAAGGATGTCTGGTGAAAAACAGTCACAAGCTTGTATTTCTTTGCACTCATCTTTGTGGGGACCTATGTGTTCGTCAATGACGTTGAAATTAAGTCAACTAGATTATTATAGAATAGGTCTCATAAAACGCAGTGCAATCAAATAAAAGTAGTATAAAAGGAAGTCCTTTGGCCTCCGTTATTTCGTCTGAAATAATCTAATTCAGACTGTGATTGAACAATTACTTTTCAAAGAGGAAGAATAGCTTGTTGATATTATCTTCAAAATATGAATCCTTACTTTTAACAACCAGTATCTTCCATTGTAATTTGTTGAATGGAAGCCGTTACGACTAATTATTCAATCTAAGTAACTAGTCTTTTAGTCATGTATTCTAGTGAACAAATCAGAGAGACTTAACTAACTTTGTTATACTTCTATCTTACTGTTTCCCAATAGCTAATTGTTGAGTCATATCTCTACAGTTTATTCAGTTCACATTTGCTTATCCTATTCAGCATATAGCATTTTCAGCAGCTTATTTGGTTTTGATACATTTGGCTAATCAGAAATCGTCCAAATGATAGGTTCATATGATTGGCCAAGAAATAGCTTTCATTTGTAATGAACAAATCATACGCCATTGGTGGCCTTAGTCTCTCCTGTCGAGTAGTTGTTTATTGGACTCGTGAATAATAAGACCACTTATCAGTATCAAATACTACACATCATGACAGTTTGCCTTCATTTCTATGTCGAGCATAAAAATATCGGAAGAACTAAGTTCTCATGTTCAGAATATTAATAATGGGTTTATGTGGTTCACTGTTAATTAGACATTGGACATTTCTCATCATATGAATTAAAAAGTGTTTAGAATATTATGATCAAAACTTTTTAGCTGACTATCTTAAAGCAAACAAAAAAGATGGACTTCGAAGAAATATCGACGACATTTTTCAGGAAAACTCCGTGCAACTACAGGCGAAAATACACCAAGTTTCCGTCTTTTCACCAATCCGGGGAAATGTCTCAGAGTTGGTATGTCAACCTTCGCTTGAATTAACATCAAGTAATCTAATTTTCCCACAGATTAGGACCGATCAGTATTCTTTCCCCTTAAATTTTGCCAGTGGGGAAAAACCTAAAATTAACATAGTTCTTTCGTTTATTTCCTTTTTTAAACTTGGGTCCTGGTGTTTTGCAGTACAAAAAGTTCACCATTGGTTCTAATCGAATATGTTAAGAATACCTGTGAACAAGAGGTTCCCGTCAGTCTTTTTACGTATAGCCTACTGAAGTGTAGTTAGTAATGGATTTGTCTAATGCGTAGAGTACAAGATTAATTTCTGACAGGAGGATGGTTGGTAATTTGTTATAACGAATTGTGTGATGATAAATGAGTTTGGTTTTAGTTTTCAGGCAGTTGCTACTCACCACCAAACTAAGTGAATTTTGTAGTGGCACGGAATATAAGTCCATAAATGGGTGATTGAAGACGGTGTAGACCAATAGTTTACAATTGCAAACGGTTTTTATGAGTCTAAATATCTGTGACAGAAGACATTGTTCATTTCTTTCAAAATTTATACAGTAAATTCATTCCATATGAACTGTAATGAAAAACTTCAGATAAATGAGTTGAGGAAATCTGACCTGTTTCAAGTTAGTTTTGATCTGACGTGTACATCGATTGAGAAGTCACTTTAAATTGTGACATACCGAATGAACTGTTTTATATACTAATATGTAACTGACGGTTATAGTATATTATGCTACGTTATCACTGAACTGAAGTTAACATGAGGGACGTATTCAACTTCAATACTTACTACAAGTCCTTAAAGTAACCGATTCATTCCCAACAGTTGGGATGAGTGTTGAAGAATTAAACTAAATAGGTATACACATTTTTATTACTTTACAATCATTGTCTGATGTACACTAACTTGTTCTTGTGAAGAATTATGTGATTAGTTTGCTATATGTCTACATATTCAAAATATTTCATTCTTTGTGAATAACTCATTTATTACTCTATTTCTCTGACAAACAACTTTGTCAGTTTGCTTGACCAGAACACAAAAAGCCAACCAACTTAGTTTTTACAATTCTCCGTCCTTTTCTTTTGATTACAACTTTAAACAGACCCCTAGTTTTAAGAGTGTATATTCCCGTTTAACCTCAACTCGTTCAGTTTTCATTTTTTTAACGCTTATATTCAGTACAGTAACTCTAACTTCCATCGTTATATCTATTTACTTATTAGTTTACTCTGTCCCTTCTAATATGAAGCATATTCATCTATAAATGACACTACTAACAACTATAATAACTAAACTAAATGGGAGTTATTTCACAATTATTGCTTATCCATCATTGCTGACAGTTGTAAAGGTGAAATTCATTATATTCTGTTGAAATTACATAGGATTCTTTGAATAAATGTCAACGAACTATTTGTGACAACTAATTTACTGCAGTATTTTCGGATATCATTTAACAAGTCTATACAGATTAACTATTGTTTTATTCGACGTCATTGTCGTTAAATAAGTTGACATCTGGAACTAATATCACACAATTGTCTATTAAAATTATATGGTTAACGCCTAAATTAGCTCGTGAACATTTCTGTTCAAAAATAACCAAGAATACAATCCTTTTATTAGCCGAATGGCATCTAATGAGAAAATAGTTTGCTATACTTTTTAATAAATGAACTACGAAATTATAACAAACATCTCAGGGGAAGTACTACACTAAGATAGTTTATTAGCATAAAGTATCTGTGGAATTATACAGTTTCAAGATAGTTTACATCATTTTAGATAAACAACTATTGTATAGGATTCCTTAAAAATGCCTACCCACTACCCTTCTTACCAGAAATCAAAATGAGGAATTTCGTAATGACTGTGTAGCTCTCAAGACATTAGGTTGCTACTAAAAATTCACATTTCCAACTTCACTCAATTCACGTTATTGTGGATACATTATTTCCATTAGTTATTAGTACAACAACAATTTTTCAAAGCGGAGATGTGTTTTGTCCGAATAAGATTAAATTGTGGGTAACTTCTGGAGACTGTTCGGGGACTGTTATTATATATATTCTATTGTATAGCTATTAAGTAACTGAATTGTATATATTTATATTACTTTTATTATAAGCTTTCATTTGACCTGTTGGCTACTATTAAACGATATGTTATTTTTAAGTTATTCCCAATTTACTAATTAGAGTCTCTCACTCGCAGTCACTTTTGACTTGGTTTTTTATAATTGTTACCTTCTGTTTTATGGTATTACGAAGTCTGATTTGCTTGTATATGTATGAAACATACGATTCACACAGCGGATGCTGATATTTGTCGTCTGGACTGAAGGGGCTAGGTTAGGCGAGAAGCTACTACACAGAGGACCAATAAGAACCCAAAATTGACTCAAGACTGGTTATGCTGATTAACACGTCATTGGTTTATCGTAGGGACAGTGTCGTAAAAGTCAGTAACTGGCAATTTTGTCACGTGATATTCGACGGGCCATAAGACCATAACAAGATGAATAGTGGTTATCGATGAAATTCATGACGCGTATTTTTTCTTATTTGGGAAACGTCAACTGAATGTGTCTGGATCTCAGAATTGAAGTTCACTCTGGGACCAGATCCAGTACCTTTCGCTTCTAACGCCACCGTATTATTCACTGAGGCAAGGTAGCCACCAGTTTGTGCAATGGGATAGATTTTAGTTCACATGTATTGGTTCGTTGAATCTCCCCATTCATATTTAGGGTTGAAAAAATGGCAATACAGAGGCAATCTTTACAGAATCCACACACAACAGAGAACAGTCTGGTCAATTGCAGTCCCAAACAACGTTGGTAATATTCAGATAACCAATAAATATCACCTTTTTTTCTAAAATTAAGAACTATATGATGATAATTTAGTCAGTAACTTCTAATAATAAAACAGAATAAAAGATGTGGAATATGCATCTGATTTACACAAGGTAATAATTGTTGGAATGTTCATCTTTTTTTAATGATAATTACATGAATATGCAATAATGTAAATCTTATTATATATATATATATATATATATATATATATATATATATATATATATATATATATATATATATATATATATATATATATTCTTACTACTAGTAGTGATATAAGTAGTGTTATTCAAAAGGGACTAGACAAATAATTATTTGTGTACATGTGATTTATAGCAATTTATATAATGAATTGTTGTATACAGATATGATAATACTAGTATTTTGATTAAAGTCAATTATTGAAGAGGAAATGATTCAATGATGATGATGATGCTGAAGTGGAGTGAGATGTAGAAGTGGAGGAATACAAAAGTGAATTAATATGATGATGATGTGATGATGGATTATGTGTTATGTGATTCATTGTTATTATCATCATTAGTGCTTATCAGGTTACTATTCACATGATTATGCACATATGAATCATTTAAAATTCTAACTGAATTCAATTCATCATTATGAGTTAAATTAAGGAAACTTGAAATATTTCTCATTTGTTTTATGAATTGAGGATTTAAAGTTGAATTTATTATTAAATTCAATGTAGTATTAGTAGTGGTAGAAAAAGAAGAATATGTTTCAATATCAGTTACATTGGTAACTGTTGTAGCCACTGTTAATGTTGTTGTTGAAGATGATGGCGGTGATCCTGTTGTACTTGATGCATTAGGTACAGTTTGAGTTTCAGTTGCAGAACGTATTATATAAGCAAATATTAAACCTAATATAGTTAATATAGCACCCATTGTAACAATACGAGCTAAACGATGATTTTCAATAAGATTTGAATAAGCTTCATCTTCATCATCTGAATTTGTACAACATGTACAACATAAAAGATCAACTAGAATAGATCGATCCATTGTAGTTGTTGTCGGTGACATTGTATTATTATTATTACTAGTTAAAATAGTATTTGGATTATTAGATTTATTATAATGAACATTTGATAATGTACCGATTGAACCACTAGTTCTATGTTGATTTGGATTACCACCAATTATTGTATTAAAAATATTACGTTCCATTAAACGTTGACTTGAAACACTATTTCGTATACCGATTGTATTATTATTATTATCAAGATTTAAGTCTTTATGTTGTTGTATAAAACTTGATCGAGATGACTTTTTATAAATGTCTGCATCAGAATTAAAAAGAGCATTATCATAATTAGTATTATTATCATTATTATTAGTAGTAGTATTAGTATTATGCTTAGAAATCATCTGTTTTAATCGTTTCCCAGATGATGATATTCTTCTTGTATTTAAATGAAAATTAGATGAATAATGTTCATTAGGATAATCAATTGATGTTTCTTGTGTAAATCCTAAATTATTACTAATTTGTGAAAAGATCATTGCAAGTGATTTACGTGGATTAGTTAGAATTGATGAATGACGACGTTTTTCAATAGAGATTTGTCTTGGAAATGGTTGCCAATATTGTTGTTGTTGATGAACTTGAAATATTGTCTCTTCATCATTCATGACATTTGATGATTGTGATAAATTAGAATTGGGATATTGTTCATCTACTGTTATCTTATCATTGTTTATATTACAATTTGTATTCATTGTTTCTTCATGTTTGCTTGAAGTATTTTCATGAATGTCATAATTCTTGTTTTCTATTCGATCATATTTAGCATCCTAATAATGTTGAAAAAAGTAAACAAATATACTCAAGTATAAAGAAAGTTGATTGTTTAAAGATTTCGATAGAGTTTTGTTCTTTGAGCTGGATAGTTTGGTCGTGGAGCTTTGATCGTTCTTCTGAACGACATCATCATGATCATAAAGTTTGTGCTCCATCCAAATCATCCACTTGAGCTATAAATCTTCACCACTTACAATAAATCTAAATGTTTCTTAAGTAAATTGGTTTATGCATAACCGATTATTTTCATTATCAATGAATAATATCAGTTTAAAAAATGTTGAATACTCGAAACTACAGGAATTCTACGCTTAGTCGAGATCTAGAATCTAAGGTAATATATTTGATCTTATGAGAGTTTGTATTATCTTGTTCATACTAAGAATTAAATTTGACCAATCTACAGATAACAGTGTTATTCTAAACTATGATTTTTTGATTTGAATCTCAGTCGGAATAATCAATATAAATCCAAGTATATTGAGCTGGTAAATTAATTAGGTCTGTTTCCTAGAATCGCACTACTGCTCATTATTCAAAATATATTTGATCTTATTTGAAAAACATTTTGATTACAACATAACTTCTTATTAAACATTGATGGATAGTGGTTATCAGTGGAATCCAGTTTGACGCGCGTCTCGTCCTATTTGAGACTCGTCAGCCGGGTGTACCCGCACCCCAAAGTTGATGTTCACTCTGGGACTCTAACCTAGTACCATTCGCTTCAAACGCCATCGCGTTATCTACTCAGCTACTGAGTCCTGATAGTCACTTGCTTGTACAATGGGGTGAACTTAAATTCACTTGGTATTGTTTGACTTGTATCTTCCCATTGAGGTTTAAGACTGCAATTGATCATTCCTGGATTCCACCACTAGCCACTATCCGTCCTTGCTTACAAAGTTTTTGAATTAAGGCAATATCAAGGCATACGCACAGTAAGCACATATGCCAATAACAGACTGATCAATTGCAGTCTTAAACCTCAATGGGGAGATACATGCCAAAAAATACCGAGTGAATATTTTCTTATTCTTTGTCAAATTTAAATCTATAAACGTTTGACTGTATAATGAAGAAAGCATTTCAACATTTATAAGGTCTATTTGTCAAGTTGAGCATTTTATCTTAAACAACTCGTAGCAATGTTGTTTCACTTATTACTTATAAGCCAGCGTTATTTTAATACAGAACACTTCATTTTCATCAACAATATGAGTTATCATTTCAGTGTAGAATGGTTCCGACTCTCTATGTATTAACAATACATAAAGTAGATTAAATTGTTTTAAAGATTATCAACAGACTAGTTTTCAAAATACTAAGCTTTATGGAGCGAAAACTTGATAATTAAAGTATATTTTTGATTGAGATAATGAGCCGATCAATATTAAACCACCTTTAAAAACCTGGAAGCACTGTTAGGATGTTTCGCCCGATTGTGGGACTCCTCAGCAGTGCGCATCCACGATCCCGTCCGCGGGATTCGAACCCAGGGTTTTTGGTCTCGAGCGCGAACGCCTAACCTACTGGACCACTGAGCCGGCATCCAGTGTTGATAGTGTATTGAATTTAGCTCATAGAATAGTCTAGGTACTTGTTGATTTTGTTCCCTTAATACTGTCTATGGTATATATGAGTTACTTTTGTTGAATGTTCCATAAATTATATTCTGAATATCTTGTCTTTCTATGAGTAAACGTATAAATGATGTACACATGCTGTATTTCGCAAGCCCTATCATGTATCTCCGTTTTTATTTCACTTACTCACTTGTAATTGATATGTCTCTCATTCTCCATGAAACACTGATATTGAATAAAATTGGTGTTCGTCAAGGTTACCCATTATATATATCCTACTGGTTATTACAATTTTTGCATCTAACATTGAAGGAGTTGATCCCATGCCAAGAGGTTTACTTGTTAACTTCAAATACACAGATAATATAGTATTTGGTGAACTGACTGACATAATCCAAAAATTGCCTCGATTAACTATATATGCCTGTTTGAGATGTTTTTCTCACTCTAAATGAAAAATCTGCCTTTAGGATTGATCTGCATCAGTACCTAAACCATTTTTGGGAAGTGAATTAGTTGAGTATATCAAAAACTTTATTCACTAAACTCACCTGACTATATCTCAGTTTTCATTGGGATGGCTTACTAGAACTACGACAGAGGCCCTAGAGGAGCCGAAGTGTCCCATCCACTCAGAACGCAATGGAGATATCTAGAATATCAACATGGTATGCTATTATTGGTTAGTAGCATAACATGCCTCTTTGCGGATTGGTTGGATTATAATGTTGATATAATAAGCGCTAATGTCTGTTGTCTATTTTTCTGCACATCCTAACATCTATAAATACCCATAATCTTCCATACATTTTCATTCTTATCCAACAAGCACTTTCTTCAGTTTTCTTCTGTCTTCTTATTTGTGACTTGGGGGGTTATAGCATTCTAGTGCTCAAGTTATACGCGGTATCTTATGAATCTAAGATCCTAGATACAACAGTTTTATTATTGGTATTGTATTATATTGTATTTTATTCCTCACTCTTAGTATGTAACTTAAGTCAATGCAGTTTTCATTATTTATATCGTGTTCTTAATTTCTTCTTATATTTTAACAAGTGTATTTGTAGTCGAATAGTCAAAAACTTTAGTTGTCATAACCATAGATCTAGGTATTAGGTTTAGTTCAATTACGCAAAGTACCGTACTTTGATGTGAACAAAAGTTGAAATCACAAAATGGTGCACAATTTTCGTTTTTTTTGAAATATTTAGGATCTGATTGGTATGTGAGGGCATTTCATATTTGACATGTATGCTTCGAAATACGTTTACTTATTTCCTATTCATTAAAATGCTTAAATTCAATGTTAATTATTGTTTGTTCCATTGAATTTGGAAATTCCGAATATCCTCATACTCCTCCTACGCCTTACTAATAAGAACTTCATTAGAAGCTAATATCATCTTATTGAAATGTATGAGATGAATTCATAAATGAGCTTTGAAATCGAAAGCTTTGTTTAATACTGTATCAAGTAAGGCATGTTTTTGATTGAAATTATTAACCGATTGATGTTAGATTACAGTTGGAAACTCGCAAGCACTAGACGTCCGTTTCGTCCCATTGTGCGACTCCTCATCTTTGTGCATCCACGATTCCGCTCGCGTGTATGTTTTAATTACCATTTAGTTTAATGTAGAAACTATGTTCAATTCTTTTATCAAATGAAATAAGTTAGGCATCAGGAAGAAATGAGTAAACTGGTCAGTCTCATTAGAGGTTAGTTATTACTTGAATAATCAAAGGAAAAATTCGTTCAACTGAAACACTGACTAGTAACTATGACGTTTCAAAATGAGCATTAGTGATCTTTAGCTACGAGATATATCTTATTGATAACTTTTCTGGAAAAGAATTTGAAGCACCAACATTCCACTCTTTATTAAACATCTTTTAAATTAGGAAATTATAACCACAAAGAAGAGCAGATGAAATAAGACTTACCTTTTTCAATGGTGATTGTTTTATATTTTCTAAATTTGTTATTATTTCCTCCCATTGAACATTGTTCTCATCTGCATTTACATTTGCATCCTCATCATCATCATCGTCATCTGTTATGACACCCCAACCAGGAAATCTGTCAGATAAACTTGACTTCAGTTTATCCACAGGTTTCTTCTCATTATTTGTTAATTTTATTTTATTGTTAGATTCATTAGTAGATTGGTTTTTTTGAGTGTTAGATATTTCGAATTTATTAGTTACATTATTATCACCATTAGTAGTAGTATTAGTAGTACTGGTAGTACTAGTCTGTTTATTAACTGGTTCAATAAAAGCAACTCTTGGTTTCAAATTTTTACTTGCCATTTCATTTACTATAACACATTCTGTTGAAGGATTTCTTGAAGTTATTGTAGAATATGATGATATCATTGTGCCAATCGATTTTTTCATTGATTCATTAGAAGGTATTGTGTTCAATTTTGATTCTATAGTTTGTCGTGATGGCAAAACTACTAATTTATTTGATGAACCTTTATCATATGTACTAGTGTAAATATTATCATTACTATTATTTCTCATCTGATTGGTAGTAGTGGTAGTAGTTGTAGTAGTAGTATTAATAGTAGTATCTGTAGTAATATACAAGTTGTTGTTGTTGTTGAAAGTTCTAGATATATTTTGTAAATTAATGTACTGTGGATCATTTGATGATTTTGATAAATAAGAGTCATTTGATGACTTTTTACTATTAACTGCATTATTTGTGGATTTAAAGTTAGAAGATTTATTTTCAATTATCACAGGTTCTTGGATGGATAATAAAGACGGTGAAGAACAACTACTATCTTCTTTAATATTGATTTTTTGTTGTTGAATTAGTGCTGATGGTGATGATTGTTGTTGGTGATGATGTTGAAGCGGGTGATGTTGATGATGACGATGATAATGATTTGTTGAAAGTGGTGGAGGAATACGTACAAACGGGGGTGGTTTGGCACGAATTTGTGAATCCAGTGCAGAAAATGGTAGTTTTACACCAAGCTGAATATTTTAAACATTGGGAAACATTTTTTTGAGTATCTTTAAAATGATTGTAAATTTCAAAGAATATACCATCATAATAATGTTAAGTGACCCAAGTAACCATCAGGTATCCTCACGGATTTATGATATCCTTGCTAACATTAGCATGATAAGTTCATCTACATCTATATACCAAGTCCATCTGACCAACTAACATTGAGCGAAATACACCAAGAGATCAGTTAAGTCAGATGAGTAGCTACATTAACTAACCTGTTCAATAAAGTTCTGTCAACAGAAAGCACTTGACAAATATATCGTTGGTTAATACTCAGAAAAATTTTAACGTCTTCATTTAGACAAGGGTTATTTTCCTTGATAAGTTTATAATATGCATTTTAATACAAAATTATGTACTATAAATGATAACAATGCAAATTTGCATGACATCCACAGGATGTGCTTAATTAAGCAATGGGTTATAAAACTAATAAACTGACATTAGACTAGATGAATTTTATAAAATAATTGTTTAAATAAAAATACAATTTAAACTATACTGAGTGAAAGGATATCGAAGATATAAAACTTAATATAGTACTAGGTTTGAAGCTATCACGAGTTCACTTAATCGGCGAACGATAACAAGACTCGGTGACCAAAGACGAGTAAGCCAGCTATTGATGCGTCCCAGCTCCGCTAACTAGATAGAGAAGTCCAAGCTCGGAATATGAAGTGTATTTTGCAAACAGCCAGAAACGAGCGATAACAACAAACATAATTCAAAACGTATATATACAGTGCAAAACCGTCCTTGGGGAGAGTTACCAAATAGCATACTAAAAGATGCAACGGACCAATATCATTTAAGATACTAGCCAGTGGGAAATACGACATGATGGTGACAAGAGCGTCTATGGTGCGAAAACAAAGAAATTCAAAATTTCTGAATAAAATTACAAAGTTAGGTCCCTCCCCAAGTGAGTTCTGGGGGTCTAACGTCCCCAAAACATAGTGAGATTTGTAACTTTCTTTGTATAAAAGTACACCAAGTTCAAATTTAAATATGAAGCATATTTTTCCCTTAATATATGGAAATCAAAGTTCATTTCGTTGATAACCAAAACTTGAATACTGGGAGATTTTGAAAAGTTGAAATATATCCTGCAAGCAACTTTTATTTCAGGATTTGTATATTTTTCTTTGTATACTGTCCGTTAATTCTGAAAACTAGTACAGTAAATTGATTTTCTAAACTGATTTTAGTGTCCATAGAATGGTCGCATGACACATCATTATCATTTATTCTACTTATAAACAGTATAATATGATTAGTAGAATATTTTAAGGTTCTTCAAGGTGAGATCTTTAAACGACGCTAAAGACACCTTGAGAATATCTGCCTACATTCTACGGCTAAATGAAGGTTATAAACCAGTTTAAGGAATTAGGATTAATATTTACATTTGATAGTTAGGGTTAGGAATCAGATATAGGTTTTACATCACGAACTGATATCAGCTATAATGACAAAACTCAATTGAGCTAAATGAATAAATAAATTTTGTGGCAAAATTCAAAATTTGTCATCGTATATCTGATTGATTCACCCATAAATTTTAGTATCTCCTTCTTTAATAAATATTTGTGTTGGAAGTCGACTTTGTATATTACTACTAGATACCAGTAGGTAGGTAGGAAGATACAAGTAAAACAACACTAAGTGAATTTAAACTTCACCCAATTGCACAATCAGGTGACTAACAGAACTCAGTGGCTAAGTAGATAACGCGATGGCGTTTTAAGCGAATGGTACTGTGTTAGAGTCCCGGAGTGAACATCAACTTTGAAATGCGGGTACATTCAGTTGGCGAGTCCCAAATAAGACGAAACGCGCGTCAAACTGGATTCAACTGCTAACCATTATAAATCTTTGCTTATAAAGAATATTCTATAGTAGGGAATCTCCATTATGTTATACATATATTCATTATTACCTATGTAAGAATACTGTTCTATCACATTTGAAATAGGTTTCTTATTGGCTTATTGATTAATTCAGTAGACTTTTAATTACTGGATCTCAAACATAACAAATCTACTTTAATCGCTGAAAAATTCCCATTATATTAAAACACGATTGTATGAACGAAGAATATTCTTTTCAATTTATTTCTCATCAGGTACTCAACAATTATAAATTCAAATGAATAATCCATCAAATTAGCCAGATTTAAGGTAATATACAGTAATATAATATACCCTTGTGGGCCAGGGTAATTTTACATTGGTTTTCAGGAGAACCAGACACCATCCGGACCTTCACGTAAAAACCCAAACAGTACAGCTCAACCCCGTTTAGCAGGGGAACCAGACACCGTACAGGCTTTAACGCTACAATCTGAACAGTACAGCTCAATCCCGTGGCGCAACCAGATTTAAGGTAGAGTACATAATTTGATATATGAATCAAGGATTGTTTGTTAAGTAAAGTAAAATCAAATCGTTAATGTTGGGGTTGAATAGTATGAAGTTTCACTGATTGAAATCATGAGTCAATTGAAGCTAGACCAGCATGGAAATCCTGAAGGCACCGGATGGCCGTTTCATGGGACTCCCCAGCAGTGCGCATCCACGATCCCGCACCCAATGAGATTCGAACCCAGGATCTATCAGTCTTGCTCCAGGCGCTTAACCAACTACACAACTAAAGTTGTTGACTCGAATCAGTTTATAAGTGAGATAAATAATGATCACAATAACTGTGATCAACATTATGCTGAGAGAGAGAATAATGGAATAAAAATCAGAAATTACGTAATATGTGGAATAATATGAATTAAGTCAAATATAGTAGATTTAGGGGGTTGATGCTGAATAAATTCCTCATAAAGCTTGTCAAGTGTATTAATAATAATAACGATAAAGATAATAATAATAGTATGGTGCATGCTACTTATATTGATTCAAGTAGTATATAACGCTAATAAGGAATGTAATGTCTGGCAGCAGAAGATGGGGAAGATCAAGAAAGGAAGAGCGGGAATAGAAAGCAATTAGTATGAATATGCAAAAACAACGAAGTTCGAGACAATTATTGAACATTTTGCAAATTAAGTATTATTGTATGGTTTTTCTATTTTACCAAGTAACTCTGTGATTTTTGTGCTAAATATAGGGCTATTTTTCTCACTGGTGTTCTGTTCACTACAATAGGTTGAATTTGGGACAAAGATGTTCACAGAGCAGTAGGGATATATATATATATGAATATTTTTAAATTTCAACAAAGTAGCCGAAACTGTTGGTTTTCAGTGACTTTTATAAATAACTTAGATCTCAGAAGAGAACACCTATTCAAGTATCCTATTACTAAACAACTTACTTTTATTGTTTAAGTTAAAGTACGTTATAAACTATGTGAAATACATTTGAGCCTAAAATCAATTCTACTTGTGTGTAATGAAAAAAAACACAAAAACTAAAGTAGATACATTTATTCGTATAAATTTATTTCATTAGTATTTTATAAATTTATTTTCAGGAGATCTTAGTAATTCATTCGTTGAATTCATGAGTCAATTCAAGTTAGACCATCATAGGAAACCTGGAAGCATTGGACGGTCGTTTCGATCCCACTCACGAGATCGTGCATGAGCATTGTTGAGTAGTCTCATACTTGGATGAGATGAATATCCAGTACTTTCAGGGTTTTTTATAATGCTCTAGCTTTAATTGATTCATGAATTCAACTATCAGAAATTTATTTGTTTCAATCTATAAGACAATACATTTTTCGATAAACAAAAAGAAGTATTTCTATCAACAAAAACAGGGACTTTCAGTGAAAAAGAAAAAGAAACTGTATGTTTAAATAGTCTACTCAAATTTCAATAACTTACTACCTACTACTCACTACACTACACTACTTACTACTAAAATAGATGTTATCAATAAATGAATAACTGAATGATTATTTATAGAGATTAAAGATAATAAAACATTTTTATCAAACTAATTTCATCTTCTAATGTAATGTCAATATTAACAATGAAGTTGAAAATAATTTTGTAGAGAAATATTATCAGCTTTTGATTCTATATAGGAGATAATTTGATTTAGTTAACGATAATAAAGATTATTATGGTGTGTGCTACTAATGTCGACAGATATAAGTAGTATGTATCATCAATCGAAAGTCAAATGCCTAATGACAGGATGTTAAGATTTTGGGAAAGAGAAAGAGAATAGTGAATGTTTGGTGTGGAAACGAATGAACAATAAAGTCTGAGATGATTGACTGATATATTGCAAATGAAGTGTTTACTGTATGGTTTTCAGTTATTTACTAAGTTGTTCTATAATTTTGTATTCAAATACATTCGATTATCCACACTTTTGTTCTTGTTCACTACATTATTACTACAAAATACGAGATAACTATTGTGTAGAAGAATGTTTAAACATGATATGCGTTTACAGAATAAAAGTTAATTCATAATAACCTACAGAATTGTTTAAGCTGTACAAAAGTTAATTTATCCTATTCTGAATAGTTTAACAAACTTATAGATCACTGTTATTTTACATTCTTTTTCTTATTAGGTTGAATGATCATTTCCACACTGACAGTTGATTCCCATCTTAGAACAATGGTATATACTTAGAGTGCCACACCTGGAGCCTTCGACCTAAAGATCTGATCCACAAGACAGTGGAGCAACGTAAGGAGATGCAGTCTTATAGTAGCCGGTGACCAACGATTAGCTCATACGCCATTTTTTCCTTCTGGATCTTGGAGCCCATGTGCACCGTTGGTTTGGAATCAGGGTGGACTCTTTGTGTCCACGAACCCGGATAAATCGCCGGACATTCACTTTTCGTAATTTCGATTTCGTAAACAACACCAGTGGTGCGAGAAGTTAGTGAATAGTGCTTTAGTGATTAAATATTCACTCGCAGGACCACATTTTTCAGGTTAGATCGCCCAATAAATAGTTATGGTTGGCTTGTTCTGA